ACAGGGATTAAAGGTGTGTACCACCACACCTAGGGCTTTGGTATATTTTTACAGCCATGTCTCCTTAGTCAATTTTTGCTGGACCACCTTATGGTTTGATTTTGATTTTCACCATGGGGAAGGATCCCTCAAAGAGTTGTAAAGAGAATCAGGATGGGGTAGCTAAGGGGGAAAGGATGCTTATGAAAAAAGCAGTAATCAGCTGGGTGTGGTGGTGCACGCCTTTAATCCCAGGATTTGGGGAAGCAGAGGCAGGCTGATCTCTGTGAGTTCAAGGCCAGCTCGGTCTACATAGTGAGATCCAAGCCACCTGGGGCTACAGAGAGCCCCTGTCTCAAAAAAATAAAAAAGACAGAAAAAAGCAGTAGTCATTGGGGTCAGGTGTTGCTGGAGGATCAAATTGTAGAGTGAGAGAAAAACATTGAATTGAAGAAAAGGAAGCTGTGTAATCATGAAGAGAGACATTCCAAAGCAGATTGAGACTGGAAGCCAGATCCCTCTGTAGCATAAATGAGGTAGTCGGAACTGTTTTTGCTACTTCCAAGACAAGGAATAGAGTGAGCCAGTTGATGAAGGCAGGGAGAAGATGTAAGAAAAGAAGTCAGTAGGAAAGCGAGGCTCTTTGGGAATGAGCGGGAACGGGGTGGAAGAGCTGAGTGTGGAAGGCACTAGGCATCCTTTTCCTCAAAGCCTGTGGCGGGGGGCATGGACATGTGGAAAGGACAGATGTAGGGTCAGAAGATTGATGACCATGAATGGTGAACTCAGCTGTCTTGATGGGTGTGCTTAGGGAGATATTAAAACACAGGAGTAAACTTTTGGTTGAAGTGTCACGAGGGTGCTGATAGAGAGACCTAGCACTTAATTCTAAAGGTCAAATTCCCTGTATCTTGGTCGGATTGTATAATCTGTTGCCTCAGTTTCCCCATCCATGAAATCAGGGAATTGGGTGAAATTATTCCTAAGTTCCTTGCTCTATGAAGATGGCTGTGAAGGAGATTCTAGATACCATGTAATTACCCTGAAGTGTCCTCATCTCTCATAAGCTCTTTCATAAAGCACCTAAACAATCATTTCCTTTGATTAGACCCAATATCTGAAAATATGATTCAGTCAGTTCAGAAGATTAAAAGGTTGATTATTCATTTTTTAAAGAGATGTATCACTTTACAAGAAAAAAAAGATTATTTTGAATAGTGAGATGCCAGGATGCATTGAGAACAATTCATTTTTATAAAAATTATATTCATCCCTAGCTCCTCAGGAACATACATAAAAGGGAGAACATTTGCAGAGGTGAAAGTTTAGTGTGGCATTAAGTCTCAACATCACTCTCCACCTGCTAATTTGCCAGTTATTTCACTTCATTTAAGTTTCTGCTCAAACGGGACCTCCTCAGGGAGTCCTGTCTAAAAATAGCTCTCCCATCAGTCTCTGGCCTCTTATCCACTGTTATTTTTTATGCTACTTATCACTACCAATATTTTGTTATATGTTTATTGCTTGTCTTTTTCCACCATTGGAATATGAGATCTATAAAGTCAGATATTATTTTATTTGTGCTACTGTCCTGGTGCCTTGAAAGATATCTTCCATGGAATAGATGTTCAATGACTGTTGGATGTACATATACATATGAATAAATGAATGAATGAATATCACTCCATTGCAGCTGATAACAAAATGGATGTCAAATCCAGAGGAATTTTGGATTGTTTTTTGATTATTTCCAGGGTCCAAGGACTACCAACTGGTTACATGGTCCCGGGATCAGACCTTGAGAATGTGGCGGGTGGATTACCAGATGCAGAGAGTATGTATTGAGTGCTATTATGGAGAAATAAAGTGGATACACAAGGAATTTAACCCAAAAAATGCAGAATTCAGTATTTGTGGGCATCAGAGAATGCATGCTACACATTTAATACATACCTGCTGGTTGGCTGGGTGGTTTGTGTATGCCACACTGGCTTGGAGGTCTTTAACAGCCAAAGTATTTAGCACTTGAAGGCTGGAGAGTCTCTATTTTGTTGTTTCCTCTTGTCCTGGTATAAGATGAGATGGTGCCCTACTGAGCAAACTGTTTAGGGATTCGTTTCTCATTTCTTTCTCTTAGTGGACTGAGACGCCTACCCTTTGCTCTGCAGATGTTCAGAGCCCTCTCATCCATTATCACCACCTTTTCTGTGAAACTGCTTCTAGTGTTTTCTCCATGTATGATCATTTGTTTGTATATAAACCACATGGTCCCCGGGATGAACTGCTTTTGTCACCCTTGCTCTGCCCTTCACCATCATGGCACAGCCTTCTTATTCAGGGGCTGAATCCCTGGATGGTAAGAAACACGACTCACTGGTGTTTCATACCTTATGGAATTTCGCACACTGGCTCTCACAGACTGATGTAAAATGTGGGTAAAATTTGTAGCACTGCTTAGTGTAAAGTCACTCAAGCTTTTTGGTCAATGCTTACTACCTCTTAAATCTCTTTTCTCCAAAGCATATACTTGCTCTAAAGGCTTGGGATGATGATACTTTTGCTTTTGAGTTAGGTGAATAACTCCATTAAGATTTGAAATATTGTTACCTGTGCCAGCAAGCTATAGTCATACCTCCTTCCCACACTCATCAAGGAGTCAAGGGGGGAATCACTTACCCCTCCCACCCAATTGCTTGACTTTAGCTGCATGTGGGGGAGGGGCTAAGGATACATAAGCCCAGAGTGCCATGAGGCACCTCTCTCGCTGTTTTGTGCGGCTGTCAGGAAGCCACAGGATCTATATTTGAGTGTGGACTTTTCCAGCGCCGCTGTAAATGGGAGGGGGGATCCACTCTTTTGTAAATAAACCTCTACCCTATGCTCTGTTAGTAAGCCCAATAAACTAGTTAGGATTTTCAAACAAAAAAGAACAGAGCTAATGGTAACCTTCATTATTCCACCAAAGTTGACCCCATGTTGGAAAATCTTTTGGTCTTTGATTTCTTTTCCCCCCCTTCGGTCTTTTTGAGACAGGGTCTCCCTGTAGCCCCAGGTGGCCTGGAGCTCGCTGTGTGGACCAGGCTGGCCTGGAGCTCGCAGAAATCTGCCTAACTCTGCCTCCCTAGTGCTAGGATTGAAAACATGTAGCACCATGCCCAGCTTTGTTCTTTGATTTCTTATCCCTACTTCATTATATATATATAGCGAGAGAACCTGCTTCAAGTTATTTCTGGAAAAATATGTTCAAAATTGCCTCCCTTTGGAATAATAAAAATATTCTTAAAAAAAGACTTGGAATTTGTTTTCCAGGCCAGCTGTAGCTACAGGGAAATCCTGTTTCAAAAAGGAAAGGAACCCCCCCGCCAAAAAAAAAAGACTTGAATTTAAGTTAATTTTTTTCCTCCTGAGCATTGTGTAAATTCTGAAATGATGAAAAATGCCCAGAGTAAAGTACTAGAGTATGTTATCCTGTGTATTTAGCCAAGAAGAATTGTGCTGGGTAAAATCTATTTTGATTATACCAGTTCTTGGCTGACATATCTCTGACCTTAGTGATCTTAGTTTTAGGTCAGATCTTTAACCAGAAAACTGACCATTTCTATTGACTTCCCTAGCCCTACATCTTATGCGTTGTTTTGTTTTTTTGGCAGTGCTGCGAGTCAATCCCAGAGCTTTATGCACGCTAGGCAAGTGTTTAGCACTGAGCTGCATCCTCCACCCCATCTTCTGTCCTCTGTTGCAGCTTTGTGCCAATGACATATTGGATGGTGTTGATGAGTTCATCGAGAGCATCTCTCTTCTGCCAGAACCAGAGAAGACCCTGCACACTCAAGAGATAGATCATCAGCACAACTCAAGTCATGGAGAGGAAGATGGTAATGTAACTGATGTCATAGGTGAGGGGTCCCACTATGCATTTCAGAGTCATGTGGCAGATGCCCCAGGACTGACTCATTTTCAAAAACGTTCCAATATTGAGTATTTCTCCTAGCCTTAAAGGAAGATCCCCCTAGCAGTCTTCTGGAAGAGAAGAAAGCAGATCAACTAGGCCTGCCTCAGACTCTGCAGCAGGAGTTCTCCCTGATCAATGTGCAAATCCGGAATGTCAATGTGGAGGTAAGCGCAGTTTAAGGAACTGTATTTCGTGCTTGCTGATGGCATTGTAGAGGAGTAGTGTGCAAGAGAGGGCTGCTTTAGATAGGATTTGGTGAGCAAATAGCTTTGCTGTTCCAATAGTCTTCTTTCTTAATTACTGAGTTTTCTAAGAAACAGGTATTTAACAAATGTAGACCTCTTTCTGAGCCAGTTTTATTTTTTTTATTTTTACTGTTTTATGTGTATGAATGTATTGCCTGAATGTATGTAAGTGCACCCATGTCATGCAATGTCCACTGAGGTCAGAAGAAGGTGTCAGAGTCCCCTGGAACTGGAGTTAAGATGGTTATTAGCCACCATGTGGGTACTGAGACTTGAACCTGGATCCTGTGCAAGAGCAGCCAGTGCCCTTAACCACTGAGCCATCTCTCCAGCCCCTGAGATGCTTTCTTAAGATAAAATACTTTTAATTTATTTAAATCAGTACAAAAACTGATTTTGAAAATGAATTGTCATCCAAACCTATTTGTCTTTGTAGACAAATAACTTTTACTCAGTTACTAGGAATGTAGAGCATTTGTGTAGCTCGTAAAAATCCATTTGTGTCTTGCTGAAGGTGCTGCTTGTCTTAGTACACTTGTCTTACATGTGCAAGGTCCTGAGTTTGAGTCTCAGCACTGCAAATAAAATACAGTAAAATACAATACAATAAAAATCTGCTTGCACCTGAAAACGCTTTGTGGGTTGTCTCCAAAGCACTTGTGGGTTTGTGTCTCACAGATGGATGCAGCAGACAGGAGCTGCACAGTGTCCGTGCACTGTAGCAACCACCGTGTCAAGATGCTGGTGAAGTTCCCAGCACAGTACCCCAACAACGCTGCTCCTTCTTTTCAGTTTATTAACCCGACTACTATCACATCTACCATGAAAGCTAAGCTGCTAAAGGTAGGGACCCGGCTTCCCAACTTTAAATTCTCCTTGAGGTTGTAAGACATAGGCGTCAGCGAGGCCAAGTGAGAACATGGATCTATACAATTTGGAAGTCGCCTGTTCTCCACATAACATATCCTCCATGTAGGATAGACGGTGGGCAGCAAGGGATGGGGGCAGCAAGGGTTCTTAGCTTTGGGGGGTGGGTCATGGATACCCTTTGGAAGTCTAGTAAAAACTGTCGACCTTTCTTCAGAAATATTTTTTACAAACATTGGATATGATTTCATAAATAATACATATAAATTGCATATAATATGCTTGCAGATCTAGTTAGAGTTTTACATTAGTTCTAGGTTGAGAACTCTGTAATATAATTTAATTTATCTAGAAAAAACAGGCAAGATGTATTTTGGAGCTAAAAGAAATGATAATTAGGGGAAAAAAGTATGTATATAGTCATTAAAAAATATCCCAGTAAAGGAATCATTTGCTCCATAGACCACCTGGCTTGCTGTAGACAAGGTCTAAGAAGGACAGCAGTGTCTGGGTGGAGGTGACACAGCTGATCCTCAATCCTCTGGGTTCAGAAACTTGATGTATATATGTAAAAGAATCAGATAGGTTAATTTTAATTGTATTTTAATTTAATCAAACACATCTAAAATACTACTATCATGTCACCATATAACTAATAAAAATTAGGCCAGACATGGTGGTACACTCCTGTAACCCAGGCACTTAGGAACTGAAAGCAGTAGGATTAGGAATTCAGGGTCATCCTTATTTACATAGTGAGCTTGAGGCTAGCCTAGACTACATGAGACACGATGTCAACTCTCAAAATGGGATATTTTGGGGGGAGGAGGGGGACTCAAGTCTTCCACATAACTATGAGTTTTATTCTTGCAGCACCTCTCAATTTGGAGGAGGTGCATCTCATGCACTTTAGAGCACCATGCAGGTAGCAGCAGCAGAGGTCAGTCTATATACCTGTCTTCAGTGTGGAGGCCAGTGCTTATCTATAGCTTGCACCTCAAAATGTGAGAAATTACTGTTTTAGAGGATTAAAAAATAAAGATGCATAGATACATTTTCTTTTTTAAAAATAAAGGCCATTTTCTTTTCTTTTCTTTTCTTTTTTTTTTTTTTTTTGGTTTTTTTGAGGGTTTATTTACAGAGGATTAGGTGCCCCCATTTACTGCTGCACTGGAAAGTCCACAGTCAAATATAGATTCAGTGACTTCCTGACAGTCACAGAAAATGGTGAGAGGTGCCTCCTGGCATCGGCTGGAACTCACTATGTAGACTGGCTGGCTTTGGCTTTGAACTCAGAGATCAGCCTGCCTCTGTCTCCCAAGTGCTGGGATCAGAGGCATGTGCAACCATGCCTGGCTAAATGAAATGAAGTACATTTTCATTTCTGCTGAAGAGAAATCTTTTCTCCCGACTTATATCCTTCAAGTAGTTCTTATTCTAGCACAGGGCTGTTATTTTGCAAAATGAGATTTCTCCTGTGCAGAGTGGGAATGAGGAAGCAAAACTGGGTAGAATTCAAAACTGGGTAGAAAGGAGTGTTTATTCTGTCCCCCCTCCTCTCTAAAAACCCACCTGTGTAGCTGTCTTGGTTGAAGAAGGGACTTCTCTAGAAGGCTCAGGAAAGTTCCTCTTTGAGCACCTGTGGGGAATGGAGAATGCCCTTCCTAAAGCCTCAGACCTGACCATGTGTGGTGCCCCAGTGCCACCATGCTCCCCACCGCTTTGCAGAATAGAGCCAAGCAGGAGAAATGGGATTCTCTCCCTGACTGTGTTTTGGGTCTTTTCCAGATCCTAAAGGACACGTCCCTGCAGAAAGTGAAACGCAACCAGAGTTGTTTGGAGCCCTGCCTGCGCCAGCTCGTCTCCTGCCTCGAGTCTTTTGTGGTAGGAAACGAGTTTGTTGTACCAATGTGTACATTAATGTCTTGTTTTATTTCCTACCCCTCAAATCCTAGGTCCCTTCTGTAATATTGCATCATTATTAGTAATTCAACTTAAAGACAGGTTGTGGTTTTTAGTTTGTTGATCTTTAATTTCAGAACCAAGAGGACAGCACTTCCAGCAACCCATTTGCACTCCCAAACTCTGTCACACCACCCTTACCAACATTTGCACGGGTGACCACTGCCTATGGCTCTTACCAGGATGCAAATATTCCCTTTCCTCGGACCTCTGGAGCCAGGTTCTGTGGAGCAGGTTGGCCCCTTTGTTGTTTTTTGAGTCTCAGTTTTCAAGAGAGGATAGCTAGGAATGTTGTATGTACTTGGTCATCTTCAGAAGATTTTTGTTTTGAGCCTTCCAAGAATACAAAACAACTAATGATGTGATTCCAAATTGTGTCTGCGAACAGAGCCTAAGAACAATCACCGGAATTGAAGCCTTAATTGTTTCAGTTCTGATGATCCTGGATTTGAGTCTACTTAGATCCCTGATTCTTCTACCTCTCCTAGAACCTGTCGATTCTCCCATCCAAGTACTGACCAGGCCCGACCCTGCTTAGCTTCCAAGATCAGACAAGATCGGGCACATTCAGGGTGGTATGGCCATAGACAGAGCCTATAGATTCTGACCTTTGTTCCTTTTAAAGATCACCATGGTCATGAGCCTTGCTATTTATAGAGCTGTGCCTTGCATATATTGAGATAGGGGGAAGAATTGCCCAGCTGAGTAAACAGCTCAGTGGTAAGAATGCTTGTTTAGCTTGTGCAAGGCCCTCCATTCACTCCCCAGTACCACCACACACACACAAAGGACCGTGATTGAGCCAGGCATAATAACTCACTCCTCAACCTCAGTATTTTTAGGATGCTAGGGCTGGAGGATTGTTGGATGTTAAAGGACAGCTTGAACTACAGAGTGAGTTCTAGTCCAGCCTAAGCTGTATAGTGAGACTCTGTCTCAAAAAGAAGCGAAAAATCACCCAGTCTTGCATCAGGGTTTCCCATGTTCATCTGTTGACAGTGCTGTGCCCATGTGTCTCCTTTGCCAGGTTACCTGGTGTATTTCACAAGGCCTGTGACGATGCATAGAGCAATGTCTCCAACAGAACCTACTCCTAGGTGAGTCTGCGAGATGCAGTCTGCATCTGTGGGGCCAGAAGTGCACAGGTATCTGGGAAGGACTATGCGTCTGTCTTTGGATGCTCATTTCAGTGTCTCAGTTGAGCTTATGTTATAAGATTCCTTCTTGTGAGCTGGGTGTGGTAGTACATGCCATTAATCCAAGCACTAAGGAGGCAGAGGCAGGTGGATATCTGTGACCTCAAGGCCAGCCTGGTCTACACAGCAATTTCTAGGCCAGCTGGGGCTACAGAGAGACTCTGTCTCAAACAAAAACAAAACTAAAAAACAAAAGATTCCTCTGGAAAGACTGAAAGTTCATTAAATTATTTCTGCCTCACGGTTTCTATCAAACCATTTGGAAGACAGCTTGATAAAAGCTGTTGTCAGGGGCTAGAGAGATTGCTCAGTGGTTAAGAGCACTTGCAGCTCTTGCAGAGTACATCCATGGTTCGGTTTGGTTCCCTGCACCCACGTAAGGCTAGTCACAACCATCTGTAACTTCAGCTTCAGGGGATCTGACACCCTCTTCTGGCCTCGGTGCCACTCACCAGTACATGCACATACATGCACACAGATATACATACATACAAACAGAAATAGATAATTTTCTTTCAAAGCTGTTTTCAAGTTAGATTTGCACTTGAATGGAAGCTCAGTGTGGCACACATTTATAGCATGTTCAAGGAAGGGCCTGGGTTCCAGCATCAGGACCAGGAAATAAAAAGACAAACTTTTAATATGTTTTTCTCCTATTGCTAAACTCTTACTTTGTTATTTAATAGTAACCTGAAAACAGATACCGTCTCTAGTTATCCAACACTAATAGGCCACTTATGAAATCAAGACATTTGATTTTTAAAATTCCCTAAAGAGTATGTTGGAGAAAAATGACGATTTTTAAAATTAAAATGTACAAGGCCTTCCTCTCCTTTCCACATGCCTGGGAGAGCCACTGTTAGCGACAGAATGTGTTTCTGTCATCACGGCTTTTCTTTTTCTTTTTTTAAAAAAAAAATTTATTTTTTGCAATTCTCATACAATATAGTTCTATGATAGTTAGATTCCCTCCCGTATCTGCACCTTCCCCCCACTGCCCCCACCCAATTTAATGTCCTCTCTTTTATATATATAATGCAGCCTGTAGAGTCTGATTTGTGTCCCCAAATGTCCTTCGGTGTGGGTCCAGCCACTGGATCCACCAAGAGTCTCGTCCCTGTAAGACACCATCTTTCTCCCTCCCAGCAGCCATCAATTGCCAAAAGTACCTTAGGTTGGGTTGAGATTTCTTACCTCCCCATGTCTATGCTGGGATTGTGTCTGATGTGAGTTTGCATAGTACTTACACATGCTGTCACCATTGCGGTGAGTTCATTTGAGTAACGGCCCAGCTGTTGGGAAAACTCTGTGGTCATCTACTATCTCTGACTCTTACAATCTTTCCATCTCCTCTTCTGCAATGATCCCTGAGCTTTGGGATGCAGAAGTTTGAAAAAGATGCCCTACTCAGGGATGATAAACACTCTGCGGCCTCTTGTTCTCTGCACAGTGGCCAACTGTGGGTTTCTGTGTTGATACTCTCTGCTGCATAAGGAAACATCTCTGGTGAAAGTTGCGGTGCATTCGTAGTGTAGAGGTTGCATTGAAGATGTGTCATAGCATATCACAGACACTTATTCTCTGCATTTGACCAGTTCTGGAACTCTGTAATAGTCTCTATCTGTTTCAAAAAGAAGCTTCTTTAGCCATGTATGGTGGTATACACCTTTAATCCCAACACTTGAGAGAAAAAGGCAGCCAGAACTACATAGTGATCTACATAGTGTACATAGTGAGTTCCAGGTAAGCTGGGGCTACAGGAGACCCTGTGTCAAAAAGACCTTTAAAAAAAAAAAAAAAAGCTTTCAACAGTCTCAGTGGGACAGGGCCTAGGCCCAATTAGCATCAATGGGAACAGAATCCCTTTTCTATGTCACTTCTTTGATGGACGATCTGAAGTAGATAGTGGTATGGACTTTATAGCCAAATTGCCTGGGCCCACATTTGAGCCCTTCCTTTGATTCTTTGACTGTGGGCAGCTTATCTAAACTACTTTAGTTTCATCAGCAGTAACATAGAAAAGCTACTTTAGTTGCCAAGAAAGTTAAGTGGATTGGTCCCCTAAAGACATTGAAAACATTACACACTCAGGCTGTGATTACTTTTATGACCTTTGGTTTTTTAATATTTTATTTATTATTTTTATTTTGTGTGTATGAGTATATTTCCTGCATGTATGTAAGTGCTGCTGTGTTATTCAAAGCCCTTGGAGGTCAAAAGAGGGCGTTGAGTCACCTGGAACTGGAGTTCTGGACAGTTGTTCGCTTCCATGTGGGTGCTAGGAACCAAACCTGGGCCCTCTGCAGAGCAGTCAGTGCTCTTAACCACTGAGCCATCTCTCCACCCGCAACCTCTGTGTTTTAAAACTTCAACATTGTAAATTTCTGGTTCTTTAGTATACTGACCAAGAAAACCTGGAAATCTGTACTATAAGCACAGTATTGTATACAGTATACAGAAAGGATTGGATACTAGGCCAGTGAGATGGCTCAGCAGGTAAAGGTGCTTGCAACCAAACCATACTACCTGAGTTCAATTCCTGGAATTCCTATGGCGGAAGGCGAGAACCCACTCCCTCCCACAAGTTGTCCTCTGACCTCCACACACAAGGTAGCATGCCCCCTCCCTACAAAAGAAAGAAATAAAAATATACTGAAAAATGATTTAAGGGCTAGCAAGATTGTGGGAACGACTTTTATAAGTGGAAGTAATCTGGACTAATGACTTTTAATTAACCCCATGTGCTCGTTTGTCTTATCACCTGGGCACCAGATTTTGTTTCACCTCAATTTGTTATTCCATCCAAAAAAATAAAGAATATGGGTATGCTTCAGAATTAACACATCAAAGTACTGAAAGCAAGCTCAGCCATCTCCCTTGTACACTGGGGAGATTTGGGAAGGACCATTGACCTTGGGTGAATGCGATATTCTAGAACTGGGGATGGAAAGGCAGGATAGTCTCTTAATATTAGAGGGGAGCCAAGCTTGTACTGCCCCATTGAAGCTGGATAAACCATTTTGAATAAAATCATGGGTGGGACTGGGTTTGAGGACCCAGTTCCAGTGACAGAGTTCCAGAGATAATTCTGTCAGCAAAGTTCCAGGAGACAGATGATTTCAAGAGATCTCTAGGGGAAGGAGTGTCCTTTGAATTCAGGCCCACTCTTAAAAACTCAGTTTGAGAGTTAGGCTTTTATTTGTTCAGGTAGTCATAATGTCAGTGCGATAACGCCACTCAAGGTGTCTCAGCAGGTAAAGGCATTACCTGCCAAGACTGATGACCTGAGTTCAAATACTGACGACCCACGTGATTGAAGGAGACTACCAAATCCCTCAAGTTGTCCTCCAGCCTCCATACACATGCCACGGCACCTGCACGCTCACACCCGGCACGCACACATACACACACTAAATAAATAAATAAATAAATAAATAAATAAATAAATAAATAAATGTAATAAAACAATTGGAAAAAAAGGGCTGTGTGCCATGTGTGAGCGGATGTTCTGCTTGACTGGGAAGCTGCTGGTTTCTGCATTAGGCCAAGCAGATGAGACCTTGACATGCAAGAACTGAGGCCAAGTAGCCTGGAAACACCTACATGTTACCAATCCCATAGCAGGAAGGTTGGAAAATAGCTGGAAAATAGTCACCTGCTGTCAAAGGGAGACCGTGACTAGCTGCATATGGACTTTGGCGCTTGTATCTAGTAGGACCATTTTTCAGGGAGCAGTATGTCACTGAGGTGTAACTGATATTACACAAGTCTTAAAGTTTGCCTTTCAATGACCAACCTCATGTCAAGATACAAAGCATTGTCCTTACTCCTAAAAGCTCCCAGTCCCTTTTCCCAGCCCCCAGGAGAACCACTGTCCTGACTTTTGTCACCCTCGTTTAGTTCTGCCTGTTCTTAAACTTCATTGAATTAGAATCATGCAGCATGAATTGTTCTATATCTGGCTTGCTTTGTTCAGCTTAATGTTATTGAACTTGATCCACATGGCTGCATAGATCAGTAATTGCATTGTGAAAAATATAACACAGGGCTATTCATTCTTGTTGATGGGTATTTGGATTGTTTCCCATTCATGAGTGAAATACAAAGTCTTTTCCTTTCTTCCTTCCTCCCTTCCTTCCTTCCTTCCTTCCTTCCTTCCTTCGTTCTTTTTAGGCAATCAAGGCACCTCATATATATTAGTTTCTTGACCCAAAGAATGTAATTGCTGAGTCATAGGATAACTGTATGTTTAATTGCCAGTAAGTTTGTGTTCAGAGTAAGGCTGTTTTATCCTCCTCCCTTCATGTCTCAAAGTACCAACTGCTCCACATTTTCCTTGTGTTGCCAGTATCTTTAGTTTCTGTCCTTGTGATTGGTGTGAACTATCTTACTACTTTAATTTGCATTCCCACAATGATGACTAATGGTGCTGAGCAGCTTTTGTGTGCTTGTTGACCATTTAGGTATCTTCTGTGATGTGCCTGTTCAAATATGTGTATGCACCACATGCATGCAGCACTGGCAGAGGGCAGAAGAGGGCATCCAGTGCCCCGAAACTGGAATAATGGACCATTGTTAGCTGTCATGTGGGTGCTGAGAACTGAACCCAAATCTTCTGCAAGAGTAGCTTGTGCTCTTAACCACTGAGCCTTCTCTCCAGCCCCAGTATAGACTCTTTTGAACCACATTTCTTATGTATTTATGGTAGTTATCTATTTTGATTGCAACTCTTTTGCTGTCTATGTGCACTGATTTTTTCCTAATCTGTGTCTTGTTTTTCTTCCTCAATACTTTTTGGTAAACATAGTTTTCAATTTTGATGATGTCCAATTTATCACTTTTTAATTTTATGGTTAGTGATTTTTGTATAGTATCCAAAAAATGTTTTTCTACACCAAGGTCACAAAAAATACTCTTCAGCATTTTCTTTTTTGAGTTCGTAGCTTTACATTCCTTATTTAGGGTCTATGGTCCACCTTGGGTTTTTGGTGGGTATGAGGTGAGGTAAGGATGACAACTTGCTATATGCAGTAGAAGTGAAGCTGTTCTAGCACCTTCCTCCTACACTGATGAAAACAGCTAGCAGCACATGTGTGCTCTGTTTCTGGACTCTGGCTATTCCTTTGATCTCTTTGTCCTTCCTTATGTTTCATTACACTCAGAATGTAGCCTATACATAGTAAGTCTTGAAGTTGATGGTGCAAGTTCTCAAATGTTATTCTTGCTTAATTTTGTGTTAGCTCTTCTAGGCTTTTGCATCACTATAAAATGTGAAATCAGCTTATTAGCTTCTACAACACCTGCTCATGTTTTGATTGGAATTATATCGACTATGGATATGAGTTGGGAGAAACGGTGTCCTAGCTGTGTAGCCCTGTCGTTCCCTGCTGTGTTGTGTCTGCATTGTTATGCAGTTATTTAATGTCTCTTTAATATTTTGTGTTTCCTGTGCACTTTTTTTCATTGTTTGTTCCTCAGTATTCAACTTTTTCTCCTGTTTTTGAGACAAGGCCTCATTCTATAGCTCAGGAACTTAATACATAGCCCAATCTGGCCTTGAACTCATAGCAATTCTCCTGCCTCAACTTTCTTAGGACTGGGACTACAGTATAAACCACTGTGTCTGACCACTTGATGTGTTTTGATGCTATTATAAATAAAAAACTAAAAATTTTCAAATGATTCTTTTTTATATCTATTTAAGAGAGTGTTGTGGGGGGTCAGAGGACAACTTGAGAAAGTTTGTTTTCTCTTTCTATAATATGAATCCCAGGGATTGAACTCAGGTCTTTAGTCTTGGGGGGCCAAGTACCTTTACAAATGAGCCATCTTGTCAGCCCTCAAACATTATTTCTAATATTTGGAAACACAATAGATTTTTGTAGCTTAACCCTGAATCTAAAGCCTCTAATTAGTTGTAGTAGATACTATAGATTCTTTTTCTTTGTATATAATCATGGAAACAGTTTGTGCATCTGTAGACAGTAGTTTTCAGTTCTAAAAGTTTTGGTATTTGTTTTTATTTGTTTATTTATCTTGAGTTTCTTTTTTCTTCCCATGTCTTTTCTTCTTGGTTTCACCAAATGCTAAGAATAACATTACTTGAAATATGAAAAGGCTGCAGTCAGTGTGGATAATTCTCACTTTAATTACAGATCTCTTTCAGCCTTATCTGCTTATCATACTGGCTTGATTGCACCAATGAAGATCCGCACAGAGGCCCCTGGGAACCTGCGTTTATATAGTGGGAGCCCCACTCGAAGCGAGAAAGAACAGGTCTCCATCAGTTCCTTCTACTACAAGGAGCGGGTAAGTGCCTGAGCCGTTGCCTTCGCTTGTTACCCCTTCTAGATTCTTGTTCTCTGACCGATGTGCCAAAGCACAGTAGTAAATTAGTAATCCTTTGTAGACTTTAACTCTCATCATTAGCTTATTCAAGGAAGTCCATTGCTTTGTTCCTTTGCATTGGTTTGAAGTACTGGAAACCATGGGGTGGAAGAAGTGATTAGTTTTTACAGTACATAGACTTTACTCTCCATTGAAAATCTGGCCTTGTAATCCCCATTGGTTGAGCTGAGTCCTGTATTTCAGATTGCATAATTTAGCTTCAGGTTTCCTGTGATGCCCTGTTGCCTGTCAACAGACTAAGGGTTGCTTCTGAAGGCTGGAGATCTCGGTGAACCTGGAACTTTGTAGTTAAGAGTTGTACAGTTGAACCCTAGAAGGTTTTCTACCTAAGTCTACACTTGAGTTCTCACTTGAATGGATCAGCTTATACAAAAACTGCCTGTACTTGCCCTTATTTTCCAGGGTTTTTAAGGAATTCATTGCCCCCAAAGTAGTTATTATTAGGCTGACAGAAACCTGTGATGACTGCAGTGAAGAAAATGTTGACAGAGGGTAGGAATGAGTAGCACTCTTTCTGTGTTGTCAGATTAAGAACCTGGCATGGACCCTTTTAGCTGATGTGTTGAAAACAATCAGCATTCTGCTGACCTAGTGCACATATTCAGTCCTTAGGAATTCATTGTTTCCCATAAAATGAGAAATGATAAATTGTCAATAATTAAAATTTGCTTTAAAATTGAATTATTTAAAATAAAAATTTTCTCTATCAAGTATTATAAGTATCTTCATATGTGTTATAGTGTAGTATCTACCCTTGGCTCCCACTGATGGGTGACCAGTTCTAATTAGTCTAGTCTTAGGGTTTATGTGACTGAAATCAGGGGTAGCAGCTGAAGTTTGGGCAAAGCCATCCAGTCAAACAGGAAAATGGCTTTTAGTTGCCTTCCTGCTCAGCTCTCCATAGTCCCATTCTTCATCTCTCAGATGGATTTCTGTCATCCTGACTGTCACAGACCTCCCTGAAAACCTACAAAATTATATCTTCCCCAAGTCATTTACATTAAAAAAAATTGTAGCTCTGTTTTTTCTTTTTTGCAAGCTGGCTCTTAACTGATAATTAAGCATTCAGTTGGCATAAAAGCCAAGTAAACTTAAGGTTAGGTAAATGTGACACTTTCCTTTAGCATCAGGTCCAGGTTGAAGAGATCTTTGAGTCAGAGGCAATTGAGAATGCCCCTTTGATTCATGTCATGAGCTACCCATGCTTGGGTTTCAATTGGATGTGATAAGTTGGCCAGCATTTTTGACTTTGTGATCATGTAATGCAACCTGTAGTCAAAGTACCTCCAGTTCCATGTCAGGAAGCTCTCTGATTGCAGGAGTGTTGGTGAAGCTTGCATTCATGTTTGTGATGGTTCAGGCCCCTTTACCCCAATCCTATAATTGTGAAGAGGAACCAGAAGCATGTGGTTAACCACCTTAGCAGATTAGATCTGTGGGGGCTAGAGGAAGGTCTGTGGTATTTCAGTCCTGAGGTGGTGCTCTCCACAGAAAATAGTACTCTGACCTGACATAGGAAGTAGATTTCAGGGTTTATCTTAAATAGTGACCAAATAAAATGGGAGAGCACTTTTATTATAGTGTGACATGAAACTTTCACACTGATGTATAAAATATGCACAGAAAAGTTTACAAATGTGAAGTGTGTAATTTAGTGAATTAACAATCACCCAAGTCAAGGACCAGAACATTTAAGACCTTCAGGATCCCTGGGGGAGGGAGACACATTTTAATGGATGACATATAATAGTTATGAGGTTAATTTATGGGCAGTTGCAGATATGTGATTACTTTGTATCTTAAAGTTTCATGTGATTCAATGTATTTGAGATGCCAAAAATGAATGTTAGTTATTTTATGATAAATTTGAAATAACCTTATCTCTCCTTGAAGCTTGTTCACAGCTTTCCTATCTAAATAGGGCAAGGGAAACGAAAGCAACGGAATACTACGATGGTATCTGACGTAGGCAGCCTCGTCTTCCTCGCGGAGGTCGATAATTCTTGAGGACTGTTTTCTCCTCGGGAGAAATGATATCATTTTATTACCTTTGATCTGGATGTTTTGGCTTACTGAGATTGTTTTTGTGTTCAAATTTTTCTCCTGTGTACTGTTGCAGCCTTTTAGATCTCTGCCCCTGAGAGCTTGAAATGAGGGGAAGCAAGAATAGACTCTGCCTGTATCAAGGGTTAGCGAGAAGGAATTACAGGTGTTTTGAGAGTGCAGATTTTTACAAAGCTATCTGGAGACTCTCGTTTTTTCTTTTTTTTTTTAATCTGCCCTACTTAGGTTGAATTGTTAGAGTCACCCAGTGTTCTCTAGATGACATTCCAAGATTTGCCACTGAAAGCTTTAAAGTGTGAGTCATCTAAAGACCTACCAAATCTCCTAACAGAAAGCACAATGATGTTAACATGAATGGATTTGGCAAATAGACCAACCATTACTAGCTGAAGAAATATTTGTTCATTCTGCAACTTAGGATAAATTCTAAGCATTGACCTGCAGACACTTAAAATTTCACAACCTCTTCTCTGCTTCAGTTTATATTATTAAAATAGCTCTGGTAGAAGTAACTGGGAGATCTTTCAGTGAACAGAATAACATCTGATCTCCATAATCAGTATGGTATGCTGCCAGTCTCCTGCCAGATCCTCTTGCTGCTGGCAGGAGTGGCCAGGGAACATTCCTTGTTGGCTCAGCTCCCTCTTCCCTTCAGTTCTCCAGGGCTTCCCTTCCTTCCCCCCGGCATTGCTCTGAAAATGGTTTTGCAGCCCCAATATCAAGAGATTCAGATCCCTCATTGTCCCCAACCACATGGGATATTGAGTCTGTTGAAGAAGTGCTTTGCTTTAGGAATAAGAATGTATCCTCAGTGTGTGTTCTTCTTGCCCATTAAGAAAAGGGGGGATAGTCTCTGTTTCTCCACTGTCTGATTTTAGTCCTGGTCACAGTCCCTCAGAATTTGATCTCAGTTCCTTTGTCAGGGCTGTGTTGACATCAGCTTCCTTCTGTTCTAGACAGTGACTAGAGGGGAATGAAGTCGAAACTGGGCTTGGAGTGTGGTGGGTTGGGGGAGGTGGGGGAGTGCAGGTGCTGCTGTGTGTAGGTTCAGGTTTTCAGTTCTTCTAGTTCCCGTTTCGTAGCATGTATACCTTGAGATCCATCAGATGTGGGGAAAATTTCATTTTATTCTCTCTTTTTTTCCCTTTTAATTTTCTTGGTGTTTTTTTCTTCCCTCTTCCTGGGTGTAACGTTTTCACACACAGATGTCTCCTCGCTCTGCCCGGCGACGTTGGTCCATACAAGCAATTAACGACTTCCCGGTACTGTGCGCTGTGCAAATGCTCTCCTTAACTAATCCTGTCTCTATGCAAAGGCCCAAGAATAAAATGCCACCTGCCTGGCTTTGAGGAACCTGAATGTCTGGTTGGCTAGTGTTCAGATCAGACCAGCAACAGTAAATTTTTCACCCTGGAGAGGCAGGCACTAAGGACTGCCCCCTTGTCAGTCATGGTAGACACTAAAGGATCACAAATGGGCTTCTTTGCCAACGAAACTTACTACTGCGTTCTTGGAAGGTCCCCTGGTCAAACAGCTTCAGCTCACCTGATTTCACTTGGAGCACTTCTACAAATTTCATGGAGCTTTCAAAAGCCTACCTTTGGCATGGGGGGAGCAGAGGAAGATATAAGAGGCTTCTGCCATTCAGTCTGTTTTTATTGTCTCTGTCTAGTTCAGAGAGGGAAGTAACCACTTGCTTCATTGGCATGATACAAGAGCCAGTTTTATCTTTGGGGAATTTTCTGGAGCAAAAACTTTCCTTGCCATGAGTATTTTGCATTCCTAGTAAAAGCGGCTATAGACATCCCCCTTTCCCTTCCTTCCTTTCCTAGTCACTCCTTTTGGCCATCTCCCCTCTTCTGTCTTCCTCCCCATCCCCTTCATGTTTTAGTAATGCCAAGGTGTCCTCAACCAGCCTTGAGGCTTTGTGTAAATTTTGTTTGATACAAAGAACATTTAGAGGAACAGTTCTGTAGCCTTTTCCTACAAAAAACAGTTGAAATCAGGAGCCCTGATTAGCAGAAACCACTGCTGCCAACAGCTTGCAGGTGGAGCCACCAACGTGGCCACTTTTCCGCAGATCCTAGCCAACTCAGTTGCTGAATTTCACTGGTTTTCCAGAAGTCCCTGTTTTCACTGCTCTTTAAATAGGAACTCATTTGACTTACTGCCTGCTCTGCTGATTATGCATTGTTGATGGGGTTGCTGCGAAGCAGTTGGTGGCTTATTCTTGGGCTGTTTTTACATTTAACCCATTTACTGGCATAAATGTTGCCTCCGATCGTAGCAGTAACACTGGTGGTGCGGTCACGAGCTGGCTATTGGTTGTCATTCAGTGCCTCCCTCTGTCCCCCCCGCCCCCCGACTTCCCTGTCCTCTATACCATCCTTCACGAGCACCTCCCTGGGATGCTCATACAGGCTTCCAGGAACTCATCGTGTAATAACCTGTCTGTCTTGCTTCGCCTCTATTCCTTCAGTCTCTTCTCATGAAATCTGTGGGAAAGGGCATTTTCTGTTGATGGAGCACTGAAAAGACCCAAGAGAAATGCAGAATCCTTTGCCTCCCAGAGGTACCCATTTGGCAGTACAGAAAGAAGTTCACCCTGAGACCTGTCAGAGTGGGACTGGAGCAGTGCAAGAAGGTTAGGGGCAAAGCCTTAGACCTTGGTGCCCTTCTCTGATCTGACCTGGACAAAGTAGCCACACCTCACCCTCTGGTGTCACTGTTCTCTAAAAGCAGAGAATCCCAAGAGAAGTCTGTTGTGATTACTTGACAGTTGTACAAATAACAGTCTCTTAGAGTACTGCACAGGGCTCAGGGAGAGGAGGTTGAGGAGGAGTGTTTTTCTATCACCAAAAGTTGTAGGAAGCACCCTGAACAGTCGGCCACCTGCCTAACATGGAGCTGCCAGGACTGAAGGTCCCAGCTAACATCTGATGGAAGATTTAGCTTGTCTTCATTTAGGAAACTTTGTTATATTTGAATTTATAGAATAATTGGCTGTTTATATTTCAGACTGTCAATCTATACAGTTTAGTCTTTTTTGAGGGGCCGGGGAGACAGGGTCTTATGTAGCCCTGGCTGACCTGGAACTTGCTATGTAGACCAAGTTGGCCTCGAACTCACAGAGATCCACTTGCTTCTGCCTCCCTCTGTGATTAAATGCGTGGGCCACCATGCCTGCTCTGGTATATACATATTTAAAAATCAATAACCAGCCCTGTCCTGTAGCCTCCGTCAGGATCTTTGGCAGTGTTTTGCAATTACTCCTTGTTAGGTTAAAAAAACATACTAGTGCTGTCCCACAGTTACATTTACAGTTTTATCCCTACTGGCAGCTAGAATTTGGGTGACCCTATGTTGGGGAACCTCCTTCTATTATGAGCTGAGGCAGCTGTGTGAGGTTCCACGGTCACCTCATAGACACCCAGTACATATCAGACGGAAACTCCTAGAAGCTTGTTGCCTCAAGAAGTCCCAGGAAATACAGACTGATTTCCATAATTGAATGAAGAACGGTTGTACAAAACTGCGGAAGACCATACTCACTATTGTCCATTTCTGTCAAATGCTGACAGCTCACATCTGTTTGTTTCTACCAATCTCTGTAATCTAAGACTGCAGATGGGAGAAGAGTCCTAAGCCCTCTTTGGTCTCTGCTTCTTCTTGTAAATGCGCCTAATCTCAACAAGTCCATAAAAGGAGATTAAGCACACATGTATGAGGCACATTCTCAAACCCAGCCTGAAACCCAGCATTATGGTCTGAATCTGGATTACCCCAGGAAAAACTGTCATTACTTTCTTCTTTTTCTTAAATTAAAAAACATAATAATGTGTCATTGTTTTCTAAAAGCAGAGAATCCCAAGAAAGAGCCTGGTGCTGCTACTTGACAGTTGTACAGACAACAGAGACTCCTAAAGCACCAGCAAGATTCTAAGAAGAGCGTTAAGCCTTCAGCAAACTACCCTGGGTTCGCAGGCTGAAAAGTAACCGAGGAAGGAGTTACAGAAGGATGGGTTAGGGTAGGCGCCACTAGAATCAAATGTCAGTCTCCTTGTATCCAGAAATGGATCTCTTTAAAGATGGACCAAACTACTTATTTACTGGCAGCTTAATCAGGACTTACTTTCCCCTCCTTGTTTAGTCTTAAAATCATAACTAAAAGGCAGGTTAGCAAAAGTGGACTTAGCTGAGGCTAGGGAAATGGCTTAGTTGGTAAAGTGCCTGCCACACAAGCTTGAGATCTGAGTTCAGATCCCCGGTACCCATGCAAAAGCCAGGCACAGCAGCCAATATCTATAACTCCAGCACTGGTCTGTGTAGAAACAGATTCCTGGAGCTCAGTGGCCAGCCAGAGCTCCAGGTTCAGTGAGTGACCCTGTCTCAGGAGAGCTGGGTGTGGTGGTGTATGCCTTGAATCCTAGCAACTCGGGAGGCAGAGGCAGGCAGATCTCTTGAGTTTGAAGCCAGCCTGGTTTATATAGCAAGTTCAAGGCCGTGGCTTCAGGGAAACCCTGTCTCAAAAAGACCAAAAAGAAAAAAAAAAAAAAGAGAAAAAGAGGCTGTAACTCCAGATCCAAGGGATCTGATACCCTCTGGCCTCTTCAGGCACTTGCATGCACATGGTATACATAAACTCATGCAGGTACACATATACACATAAATAAAAATAAATAAATCTTAAGAAGAAAATAAGATGGAGAATGATAGAAGGAGACACCTAATATTGACCTCTGGCCTCCACATACATGTGCACACACATGCACATATGCACACACCTACACAGGCACTCACATACATATCACATATACACACACAGAATGGGCATAGCAGCTTGACAGGTCTGTTCAAATTTCAGGCCCATGACTGTGACCTTGACTGTGACCATGTAGAAGCTTCATATTGCACTTATAAAATGGAGGTATCCCCCTGTCCATGAAGCTTCAGTGAGCACCTGCCAGCACAGAATGAACAATCCATAAGAAAGAACTAGCATGCTATACCAACATCAGAAAAAACTTCAAATCCTACCTCAAATATTTGTGCACTTGGACCTGTTTCATTATCAGTTGCCAAGTGAACTAGTCTACTTGCAAATGAGCCACTCCTGGCGCAGGAGCCTTCACATGATTAGTAATATGCTTTTGTTAGGTTTACTTTAAAAGAAGATCATAGTTATTTTCAGTGTATTCTAAAAACTGGCGGCCCCATCCATCCTTTACAAGGTCTCCGTTTGTTTCAACTGTAATTAAATGAGCTTTTGTGAGTTCCTAAATTGTTGGAGTGCTTCTCCTTTGCTCTTTGTAATAAGGAGCCACAGTGACTTTGTGTTCAGTGTTTTAGAAGCCTGCAGTCCAACCCAGAAGACTCGTGAGATGAATCATATTCCTTTCCAGGTGGAATCCTTTTAGCATAGGATTTTTTTAAAAAAATTATTTTACTTTTAGCTGGGCATAGTGGCTCACACCTTTAATCTCAGTACTCAGGAGGCAGAGGCAGGCAGATCTCTGTGAGTTCAAGGCCAGCCTGGTCTACATAGTGAGTTCCAGGCCAGCTGGGACTATAGGGAGACCCCATCTCAAAAAAAAACTAATAAATTTCTTTACTTTTGTTTATTTTGTGTGTGTATATATGTGTGGGCATATACAGAGGACAGTCCAGGGGAGTCAATTCTGTTCATTATGTGGGTCCCGGGGATTGAACTCAGGTTTTCAGGCTTGGTGGTAAGCACCTTCCACCACTGAGCCGTCCCACAGGCCCAGTTTTTTTTTTTTTTTTTTAATCTAGTACTCTGAATTTTATTTGAAATGGTCAGTTGTCAGGGCCCTGTGGGCATATTGTTTCTGGTTAGTTAAGCATTTTGTGCTGTTCTCTGTCACTGTAGGCTAGCCACACACTAAGTCACCCTCCCTGCAACAAGTCATGCATTTAGTGCACATGTGATTGCTTCTGTCTCCTGTCAGTTAACACTGCCTGGCTCCAGCCCATTCTGACATGTCCTTCCTTTACTTGAACCCAAGTCAGGATGTTTGTGGATAAAAAAAATAGTAGCTTTGTTACTATGCACAGAATTCCTCTTTAGAAAAGAACCAGGGCATGTTGAGAATTGAAAGCTCACCCCACAATAATAGATTAAGTTTCCCCTCACATTGTAGAATAAAGGCACATAATAAATAGTAATGAAGCTGCTTTTTAAGATTAAATGGACTAAGGTTCCAAATTGATAGTGTAACATATGCTAAATTACGATAAACCATCCATTGATGCTTTGGCTAAACTTCATTTCCCTGCCTGGAACCCAGGTGTCCTGGATTTCATAGGTTCCAAAACATTGATCATATGGGAAGTCAAATGCACTGGGCACTTTGGGAATTGGATGGGATATCAGTAATCAGAATTTAGCCTGGATTTAGAACTAGACTAATTCATGAAAGAGTGATTTTACAAAAATCACTAGTGGAAAATGAATATAATGTGAGTGAAGATGATTCCTGAGGGTTTATATGCATTCCCAGTAAGGACAATTTAGGTACAGTTTTATGTTTATGCAGGCAGTCTCTGTACCCATATCTTTTCATTGTGCCTTGCTGACCTCATGAGACTGAACAGCAGATTTGTCGTTATCCACAGGTTACCAGTGAGCAAAGAAAGACTGATTTGTGTGAGACCAAATCAACACCATAGAATTTTGCCTAGGGTCATATCAATCCAGAACATGTGGCAGGCACCTTGGTTTTCTGATGGCAAATTATAAGCCCCTTTCAGTTGCTCCTTTTAAAATAAATGTGTCACTCCCTTCCTTAGTTGAATGACTTTGGTGGCCTCTTTTTTAATTTTTGGAAATAAAATAGGATATTGCTCCCTTGGCTGGTTATCATTTTGAAGATACCAGATGGGGCTAGCCTCTGTTAATTCTTGTTTTCTGGGACATTTCTCATTTCCCATGTACAGACTCCTCATAGCCACTCCCTGGGACAGCTCTAGGAACCTGAAGTACTTGCTCATGGTCTCCCATGCCCATGACCCAAATCCCCTGACTCAGGTATTTTTGACCTTCAGAGATGATCACTATTAGAGATAACCCAGGCCTGCTAGAAAAGCCAGGTAATCCTCCCTGTGCTGCCAGGTTTCTCTGTCTTCATATATGAAGGTTTGCAGAGCCCACATTGCTGTGCCTGAATTAAAATATCAGCAAACCCTGTTGAAACTGTCTGAGATGAAAAAGCCTTGAATCATTTCAGACAAGAACTTTGAACCTAATACTGAGCACCTTAAAATTTGTTCACACCCACCCCCATTGGGGGGTCTTTACTAACTTCTTTACCTGCTGTTTTGAAATTAATTAATAATTAATTAATTAATTCTGGCTTCCTGGTGTCTGTTTTTGAGCACCTGCAGAATGTAAATAGCCATGCCGTAGGTGCTCATTTTCCCATTAGGATTTTGGATCAAGAGTTTTGTGCCATTTGTTATTCTTTTTTATTTCCTACAGATGCTGATTCTTGTAATTGTGGGCATGATGTAATTTAAAGTCTCTGCAAATTACCAATGACCCAAATATGGTGTGCTCTGCAACTCTTGAAAGTCCCCATTAGTTATATTTTGTCCTCTCCCCTAGAAATCAAGGAGGTGGAAAAGTAAGCGTGAGGGATCAGATGCTGGCAATCGACCCATCAAGGCTGCTGGAAAAGTCATCATCCAGGATGTTTCCTGCCTCCTTCCTGTTCATAAGTCACTGGGAGAACTCTACATGTAAGTTCAAGGTCTCAGGTATGCTGCACTTATCACTTAGGATCGGCAGATTTTTTTTTTTTTTAAGTTTTGGTGCATTTTCTTCAAAAGCAGTTTTAAGAGAAACTCAATATGTTAGCTTTACTACTGGTGTAGAACAAATTTCCACGACCTTTGTAGCTTTAGATAATATGTATCTATTATCCCGTAAGTTCTGTAGGTCAAGAATTGGGGCCCGGAGTCTGGAGAGATGGCTCAGCAGTTAAAGAGCACTGATTGCTCTTGCAGAGGGCCTGGGTTCAGTTCCAGCACCCATTTGGCAGCTGACAACCACCCATAACTCCAGTTACAGGGGACCAAACACCCTCTTCTGGCCTCTGTAGGTAGTGCATGCACATGATACACTTATATGTGTGCAATATACTCATATACACATAAAAAAGTTATTCGGGGCCTGGCTTCACTGGGCTCTTGCCCAGATCTCACCTAGCTGAAGTCAAGCCCTTGGGCCCACTGTGGTATCTCCCAATGTTCAGGGTCCTCTTCCAAGCTGGTTTAGGTAGAATTCAGACCCTTGTAGCTATATAGCACTTCTGCAAATTTCATCTTTTTTTTTAAATTTATTAGCATTGCTTTCTTTAAAAAAATAATATCAACAATTACATTGAAAGACTTTGTAGGTTGGAGAATTTGGAAAGGAAATAAATCAAAAACTCATATTTCATCAGCAGTGACAAATTTCACATTATTGTTGAAACTTGGTAGTATAATTTTGTCAGTAAATAATATTCAAAAATCATATTAGAGATATATAGAATTGCAAATTTACATTCCAAAATACAATTACTTATTTTTAGTTTGAGAATTTTATTAGTTTAGTTATTACAATACTTTCTTTTTTTTTTTTTTAAACTTCCCAGACTATGATTTCTATCTCTAGAAGTTCAGTTAGGTATTTTGCATTTTCTGTAGGACACAGGTGAAGGCACACTGGGGCTGTGGAATAGTAATAGAAAAATAATGGGAAGACCTCTTGGTGCCTGGGAATGTGGGAAAGGTCCAACATCAAGTCCTGGATGCCCCAAATTTCATCTTCTTTGAGAACAGTATAGTGGGTCACAGAGCTGCCTTCTTTTGAAGGCCCATCTGGTTTGTCCCACCTGGAATAGTCTGCCTTTTGACAGACTCAAGGTCAAAAATCATGAGCTTGGTCCCCCACCAGTCTTCAGATACCCCTCTCTATATGGGGAGGGGTCTGCATCTTGTGAATGGCCAGGGGCAGGAATCCTAGGGACCATCTGAGAACTCTGCCTCCTGCACCCGATATGTCAAGCAGATCAAAGCAGAGTTACTGTGGTTGACAGGCAATAGGAGGTGAGCAACCAGCAGCTGAGGCTGGACTGCTGGACCCTACTTCTTCCTGAACTTGAACATATAACAGAAAGGGTTTTCTTTTCTAGTATATTCACATCATCATGATGCTCTTTGTGCAGAACTCACAGTCAGTGCTGCACATATTTAAATCCCAAGCCTTGGGAACTCAACAGAAAAAGCTGGTGGACATATTAGTGTTTTTGTACTGCCTCCTCTCCTGACTTCAAGTGGCGAGTGATTTTACCTTCCCCAGGTGGGGACCCACAGCCCTGTTTGCATCCACTCTAATGAATCCTTTCCTCCCTATCAGATAGAAGGGAGCTAAGGGCCAACATAAAGCATTTTGAGTAACAACCAAAGAGCCACTTTCTGATCCAGGAGGAACTTTTAGGAGATTAAACTTTTTGATAATGATGATTATTTTAATTTCAGATTGAATGTGAATGATATTCAGGAAACGTGTCAGAAGAATGCTGCTTCAGCCATGCTTGTTGGAAGAAAGGATCTTGTCCAGGTATCGTAAATCCTTGTTACTGGAGCTCTGGCCTTTAAGAACACGTTGTTCTCACTTGATGGTTGTAGGTTAATGACGTTTTCAGAGTGTTCCTCCTATCGGGAAGTTCCTTTTAGATTTTCTTTGCTGTTCTGTAGAGCTGGGACAGCTTCCTAAATCTTCACCTTAGATGTTTTTCTTACTGGTATTTAGTCGGGAGATCCTTAAGTATTTACTGAGTACTTTTTTACGATGTCAGTTTCAATTTCAACCCTGTTCTAGTTTGGTTTCTCCATTGTGGTGACAAAATACACTGACCAGTACCAACTTGGGGAGAAAAGGGCTTATTCACCTTATAACTCCTGGGTCACAGTTTATCAAGGAGCCCAAGGTAGGAACTTAGGGCAGGAATGTGGAGGCAAGAGTTGGAGCACAGGCCATGGAGGATTGCTGCTTCCCTGGCCTCTGCTCAGCCTGCTTTCTTATGTAACACAGGCCCACCTGCCCAGGGGTGGCACCACCCACAGTGGGCTGGGCCCTACCATATCACTCAGCAGTCAAGAAATGTCCCATGGACATGGCCACAGTCCAATGGAGGCAATTCCCCAGTTGAGGCTCTCTCAACTCAGATGTGTCAAGTTGACGCTAAAGCTGTCCAGCACAGACACCCTAGTGATCTTTAAACACCTGACTTGAGTATTTATGACTTTGCCATTTCGACTCAGTTATTTTTTTTAAACATTTGAAAATGTTTCATTTCGGAACTGGGAGAGATGGCTCAGTGTTAAGAGCACTGACTGCTCTTATAGAGGATCTGGGTTTGAGTCCCAGCACCTACATGGCAGCTAACAACTGTCTGTAACACCAGTTCCAGGGGAATCCAGTACTTTCTTCTGACCTCAGAGAACATTGTACAATGTGGGTGCACTTACATATGTGCAGGCAATACATTCATACACATTAGATGAAAATAAATAAATAAAATATTATTTAAAATGTTTCATTTCTTAAAAAGGTTTACCAAAGTGTTTCTCTAGGTAGAGATGGTCAGTTTTAAAATATGACTTAATATTATTAAAAGGTAAATTTCCTTCATCTTTGTAGCTGTTCCTACATTGTTTACTAACAGATTTAGTGAAATATATAGTCTGCACACCATGAAGTTTACTTTTTTTGTTTTGTTTTTGTCTTTTTGAGACAGGGTCTCCCTTTAGCCCCAGCTGACCTGGAACTCACTATATAGAACAGGCTGGCCTCAAACCTGTCTCAGCCTCTCAGTGCTGGGATTAAAGGCAAGTGCCACCACGCCCAGCTTAATGGCACATTTTAAATGTCTTTACCCAGGCATGATAGTGCATACCTTTAATTTCAGCACTGGGAGGCTGAGACAGGTGGATCTCTGTGAGATCATGGCCAGCCTGGTCTACATAGCGAGTTCCAGGTCAGCTGGGGCTATAGGGAAACCCTGTCTCAAAAAGACCGAAAAAAAAAAAAAAAGTGCCATTTAGTGGTTCTTGGTGTATTCAGAGTTAATGCAGCTATCACCAGTAACAGTTTTAGAGTATTTTCACCATTCACAAAAGAAACCCCTTATCTTTTAGTCCCTTCTTCCCCTCAGCTCTGGACAGTCACTGCCCGACTTTCTGTGTGTATTGCACCCTTACTCTTCAGTGTGAGGGTTAGACTGAGCAATGGAAGCGATTAGCAATTGTCCTGGCAGCCCAGCATTTTTTCCTTATAACTAAATGAACCATTTTGAAGACTTTTTAAAAAATTTTTCATCTGGTTAAAAAAAATCCCCAAGATTTCCATTTGTATTTCAATAAACATTGTAAAGCCTCTACCTAAAATCCTTTTAAGAGAAATTCACTCAGGGATTTAATCTATTTCTATAAGGCCCAGTCACCTAGACTTTATGAACACTAAGAAAGTGACATGAGGTAACAGGAACAGCATGGAATTTATAGAGGGAGCCTGAGTCTGGTTCCGCTTCCTAGAAGAATGACCCAGGGCAGTTAGCTCAGACTCTCAGCCTTTGACAGTGTTTAGAACACGGGAGCCCAAAGAATAATTTCCTAGTGGGATTGCTGAGATCAGTGAGAGCAGTGCTAACACCAGCACGAGGGTCATGTTCTGAAGAAATATTTTCTGAGCGAATTTTACTTCTTAGTTTTCTCCGCATGTTCTCTCTTTCTCTGCTCTCTTTTTCCCCTTTCTTCTTTTCTCTCCATTCTTGGTCCTTTCTTTTCTCTCTCTACTCTCCTTTCTCCCTTCCTTCTCCTTCCTCTTTTCCTCCCATCTCTCCCTCTCTCCTCCCTCTCCCCTTCCCTCCCTCTCTTGCTTCCTTTCTTCTCCCCTCCTCTCTCTTCTCCTCTCTGTCCCTGCCACTCTCTGTCTCTCTGTCTCTCTCTGTTTCCTTTTCAGGCACAGTTGATTTGGAAGGCTGGGCCAATCCAAGTGAAATGAAGGGTCTCTTGTCTTCAGACAGACCCTGTTCAACTCTGGGCCCTGACTCTTTTTTCCTTGCATGATCCTAAGCAAGCCTCTCAGTCTTTCTAAACCTCAAGGTCCTTGACTATAAAAATGGAGCTATACTTGTAAATTCATTAGGAACTAAGTGAGGTAAACTTGTAGAGCCTCCTAGCTGATTCTGGTAATTAGAATGCCTGCGTACTCTGTGATCCATTTCCCCGCTGTTCTGTGACTTTTGTTTGTCATGTGATATTGTTTAAAGAGACGGGGAAATGACATCAGTGACAATGAACACGTGAAGAGTTTTTTGCTGTTGTTTTTCTTCATGTCCTTATTGATGATGATGTGTTTGCTATTCTGTAAAAACTGGAGAAATAATTGTGACACTTTTCTGTTGAATGATAAATGCCTAAATGGAAATGTGTATTATGAAGGGAGGGAAATAACACAGCTCACTTGTCAACCAAGGAGAAAACTTTCCTATCCTAGAAAGTCACTGACTTCATTGTTGAAGTGGGTTGTTTATTATACTGGTGAATGTAAGCCTCCTCATCCTCCTCAAAACAGCACTTTTGATCACTTTTAGTATGTTAGTGACTCATATTTTTATTGATTTTACATGTCTGATGTTTGGTTTTCAGCATTAAAATTTTTTTTTTACTTTTTTATATTTTATGTGTACGAGTAAACGTTTTGCCTGCATGTATTGTTAAGTGCACTCATGCATGCAATGCCCATAGAGGCCAGAAGAGGGCATCGGATCCCCTGGAACTGAGTTAGGGACAGTTGTTAGCTGCCTTGAGGGTGCTGGGAACTGACTCCAGGTCTCCTGCAAGAGCAGCCAGTGCTCTAAACCTCTGAGCCATCTCAACCAGCCCAGTTCACCTTTTTATTTGTTCGTTCTTCTAAAATTATAAACTATGTCCTTCAAAGTTGGTGTCTTTTTCCTTTTGGGTTTAGAAGAATGTGTTCTAATTAGTAGATACAATGATGATATTGCTTTTCCAAAACCAAACAAAACAAAAGAACTTTTCCAAAAGTAGCATTCAATCTTTTAAAGGAGTCAAGGGCATGAGGGCTTTGTTTGGACTAGGGAGTAAATGCCTTGGATTCAATAGATACTTTATGGACGTTAGTTTGCTGATTCTAAGCCCTGCAGGATGTGACGTTCAAAGGTGTTCTTCAGATTTAGTGCCACAGCTTGGCCTGTTCTTCAGCTTCAGAGAGCATACTAAATCTTTTGTAATGGAAGCAACAGTTTTTCATTCTTTGAGTAAAGAACAGGCTTTCAGTGTGATAGAGCCTGCTCCTCTTTGCTCCCCACCAACCCGGTTCACTAATGAAGCATCAGAAAAAGTCACAAGTTGTGCTGGCCTCTTGAAATTGTACTGTGCCATTTCTCTGAAGTTTACTTAATGAAAGTTTTTGTTGTTTTTTTGTTTTTTTTGTTTTTTTTTTTTTAAATTTTGATGACAGGGTTTCACTCTGTAGCCCAGGTTGGCATGGAACTCCTGTAGCCTAGGCTCACCTCCTCCAGCTCTCAGCATTCCTGCTTCAGCCTCCTGAGTGCTGGGATTACAAACATGACCTGCTATGCCTGACTTTTAATGCAAGTTTTAAGGCCAGTGTTTTCTCAAACTTCATAGTGTACTCGGGTCCCTGAGGGTCGGGTTAGAATATAAATTCAGATTTAAGGTCTGAGTGGGGCCTAAAGTTTTGCACCTGTCAGCTCCCAACTTTTGCCACCCTTGGGATGAGATTTTAGGCCATGGGTGGAGGGTAGGAGGGGTTCCTTTATAGTTTCCACCTCTCTTCAACAGTTTGAATCTGAACATATTCAATCTGTCTAGGTTTGGTCGCTGGCCACGGTAGCTACAGATCTTTGTCTTGGTCCGAAGTCTGATCCAGATTTGGAAACACCTTGGGCTCGACATCCATTTGGGCGACAGCTGCTGGAGTCTCTGTAGGTTTTGAGAGCTAAAAGTGGGGAAAATGAATGAAGGTGATTTTAGATTTTGGGTCTGTAAACACATTAAATGTACTGCCTCTGTGAGAGGGGCAGAGGTCAGAAGACCGGGGAAGAAGTAGGCTTTTTGCTTTTAGCACCAAAGTAACCTCTGTGTAGAATGAGCTTCTTACAGCATGAAGACTTACATAATTATGTCACTTACTCAAATTTGAAACCTCTTAAGATCCATGTGCTTCAGAGTGCTTTACTCTGTAAATCACAACACTCAGAACACAGGCCTTTGGGCTTAGAGATGATAAGTGTCTTTTTGGTGCTGTGAGGTTTGACCCAGGGAACAGGTTATAGGACTGTGTGTTGGTACGCACGTTCTCCCCATACCAGGACCCTGTTAGACATCTCATAAAAGCATTGCATTTGTGTTCAACTCATTACACTGGAAAATGGCAAACTGGAATATACTTAGTAATTTACCATTAAGTAAAATCACTCAAGTATGCCTCACATTGAGACCCAGGGCAGGGAAATTCCGCTTCCTTCAAGTTGAGGTTTGCTTCCTTCTTTGTTGAGGCCTGACTGGGACGCCTGCTCATGCTGCCATTGCCTCATTTTCATGCAGGGATCATGCACCACCTTCTGCTTCATTCACGTGTAAGGTAGTATAAAGACACCAAGTGTAGGAATGTGCCAGTGTTATCCCATCACAAAGACAAAGTCCCTGGGGTCCCTGAGCTCACATTTAAGCCATGGTGGTCGACAGGAGAACCTGAAAGGGAAATGTATTCCTGTCATTCTTATCTAATAGCTCACACTCGTGATTCTGTCCCCGGAGGCAATGGCCTGCCTTGCTCTGGTGGTCCATATTGTCTGAGCACCTCCCATAGCACTGGGTCATGTGAGCACTGGGTAATGGTGGAGGATGTCTATGGGAACTGCCCACAGAGCAGGGGGATTCTTTCTGGAACTGGGTAGAGTGAGAGCACATGGAACACCGCTCAGATCCTGGAGAAGTTGTGTTAGTGCCCACGTCTGGATGCCAACTGGAAGCTTTGAGGTTAGTATCCAGGTCATCTCTAATACTCTGAAAAATTTTTTTCCTAAATGAATGTAGCCAGACTCACAGTATGTCAGACCTGGGATCTGTAGAAAGCTCTGTTCCTGTTACAATTTGAGGTGGGATGGCGAACCCATGTTAGCCCAAAGTAGTAGCTCTGTGGCTGCGATGATTGTCCCCCTCCACCCTCCTCTTGGCTTATTTTCTTTCCTCTCATATTTTACAGGTTGGCTCATTATTGCCAACTCCGGGACGTTCAGACCTTGGCTATGCTCTGCAGCGTGTTTGAAGCCCAGTCCAGGCCTCAGGGGTTACCAAACCCCTTTGGGCCTTTTCCTACCCGTTCTTCTAATCTTGTGGTGTCCCACAGTCGATATGTAAGTTTGTAGTTTTCTGGCTTCCCTTGAGGTCTGATTTTTTTCCTAATGCAAGCTTTCCTGTGGAGTGGTATTCTGATGCCAGTGTGTGTTCCTTCTCCCATCTAGCCCAGCTTCACCTCCTCGGGGTCCTGCTCCAGCATGTCAGACCCAGGGCTCAGCACCGGTGGCTGGAACATAGGTTGGTGAGGCCATGCTGGACTTTGCTATTCCTGCATCCGTGTGCAGGCTGCTCATGGAATGTTCAGTTGGTGCATGTTTTCCATGCTTTTCTTGTTTCTCATCTCTCAATTTACTGTGACAGGGAAACTATTGCCAGCAAGGCCTGGCCTTGCATGTTGAATGCTATGATTTCTGGAAAGCCTTTGTGCCGCTCTGCATTGCTCTTCATCTTGTAACTGTGAGAACTGAAATGGGACTCCACCCCCAAATCCATCCCGTTATGCTTCCTCCTCCACGTGCCCCTTCCACCATCCCTGCTGCTCCCCATCACCCCCCTTCCCATGACTTTGGTGTTGAGAAATGGGTCCGGCCTGACTCCAGCTTTGTTTCATGAGTATCTTTATGTTTCCTGGATTTAAAAAAGTGTTTTTTCAGCTGGGCATGGTGGTGCACACCTTTTGTCATAGCACTTGGGAGGCAGAGGCAGGTGGGGCTTTGTGAGCTTGAAGCCAGCCTGGTCTACATAAGAGTTCTAGGCCAGCTGGGACTACAAGGAGACCCTGTCTCAAAAAGACCGAAAAAAAAATTTTTTTTTCAAAACTGGGCTAGTTTTCTTGATTATAAAACTTATAAAAGTTGGGGCTGGAGAGATTGCTCAGTGGTTAAGAGCACTGACTGCTCCTGCAGAGGACCTGGGATCTATTCCCAGCACCCATATGGCAGCTACGAACCATCCTTAACTCCAGTTCCAAGGGATTCCGAAGCCCCCTTTTGACCTCTGCGGCATTGCACAACACGGGTGCATTCACATACATGCAGGCAATACACTCATACACATAAAATAAAAATAATAAATAAAATATTTTTTAAAAACTTATAAAAGTAGTACATGAACCAGCTGTACATGCACCCCTTCAGTCCCAACTACTCATGTGACTGAGACAGAAGGGTTACTGAGCCCAGGAGTTCAAGGCCAGCCTGGGCAACATAACAAGACCCTGCCTCTTAAAGAAAAAAAAAAAGCCTCAGGGCTGGAGAGATGGCCCAGCAGTTAAATTGGCTATTCTTGCAAAAGGACCTTGGGTTCAGTTCCCAGCATCACAGTGGTGGCTAATAGCCATCAAGGGATCTGATGTCCTCTTCTAGCCTCTGAGGGCATTGCATACATGTGATGTACTTACATACATGCAGGTAAGACACTCATACACAAAACAAAAACTTAAAAACCCTAAAAAAATAAAATAAAGCCAGATATGGTTGTATACTTCTGCAATCCCAGGAGTTGGGAGGTGGAAGAAGGAGAATCAGAAGTTCAAGACTAGCCTGGGCTATGGAGAAAGACCTGTCTCCACTCCCACCGCCAAATACACACACATATATATACACATACACATATATATACATGAGTGCATGTGTGTGTGGTATATGCTCAGTGAAAAAGAGCAAACAAAAGTATTAGATTAAAAAAATAGTAATTATTGATGTATCCTACTTAGTAATAACATCTGCTAACATTCCAGAACATTTTCTTCCAATTTTTTTTTTTTGGTGTGTGTGTGGGGGGGGGATGGATAGGTGGGTAGTTATTTGATGTATGCTTTTTTGTGTTCTGCTTTTAATTTTATCATGAGCATTTTCTCATGTCATTTACCAGGTCTTTATAAGTAATCATTGCATAGCCTTCTACTTTCTCATGCTTCACTATCATGTATACTTAATTACCAGGTTCTCCTAGTGATAAATACCGAGATGGAGCGGTAAGATTAGGAAAGGATGCTGTGTGGGTCTGCTCCTCATAACCTTCAGCTCAGCTTAGTTTGCTTCCAGGACTCCGCTGGACACACACAGACAAGCAAGATTTTCACGTTTTCTGTACTTTCTCCGAGTACCATCTTCCCTTCTCTTTTGCTTTTCTTCAGCGGGAAGAGAAGCAGAACATTTATCTTCGCCTTGGGGAGAGTCTTCGCCAGAAGAGCTCCGTTTCGGGAGTCTGACCTACAGTGATCCTCGTGAGCGGGAACGTGACCAGCATGATAAAAATAAAAGGTGACAGCCTTCCCAGGCAAGAGCTGCAATTCCTGAACTCCTGTTTTAAGAAAGTCAGACTCCTGTTTTAAGAAAGCTGTATTAAGTGCCATTTGACACTGAGATTGTTTTTTTCTTAAAGGAACTGACAAGAAATCTTTGGAATTTTCTCCAGGCTTCTGGACCCTGCCAATACCCAGCAGTTTGATGACTTTAAGAAATGCTATGGAGAAATCCTGTATCGTTGGGGTCTGAGAGAGAAGCGAGCAGAAGTGCTGAAGTTTGTGTCCTGTCCCCCTGATCCTCACAAAGGGATCGGTGAATATGAATTTCTTTTTTTTTTTTTTTTGTCATTGTCTGAAAGGTCCGATACTCTAATTTGTCCATAACCTTAGACTTCTCATTTATAGACAGAAATTTCTGAGGCATTTTGAGTCTGAGCTCCTGAGAACCCTTGCATTCATAAGAAGATCAACTTTCTGTCATAATAAAGTAGTCTTAGACACAGTTCCCAATGCTGACTGGGAGTGGAGATGGTTACGAGTGTGTTCACCTACTCTGCATCAAGCCTTTCTTAGGCACAATGGAACCCACAGCAGAGTGGAAGGGAAAATTTTAAATTGTGAAAATTAAAATTAAAAACAAAATTGATGTTGGCTGGGGGGAGACAAATATCAGGAGACATACTGAGGTGCACCTTGGAGTCCTCTCTGAGGAGCTGAAGGGTGAGGAGGAGCCGTTGGGGCAAGCAGTGCGAAGAGCAGTCTGGCCTGCAGAGGGAGCAGCCGTGGAGGACTGACTTGTCATTTGAACAAGTGAGTAGGCTGGTAGGGCCGGACAGTGAGCCAGAAGAGAGGCTTGAAATTAGAACAAGTCGCAGGGGTGCAGCTGGATAGAATAGCTTCTCATGTTCTGAAGCGCGGTGCTTAGGAGTGATGGCATTGCCGGGAAAACACTGATTGACAGCAATTAACTGAATATTTCAAAGGAGCTAATAGAGAGGATTTTGAGCAGGGTGTGGTGGCTCACGCCTTTAATCCCAGCATTTGGGAGGCAGAGGCAGGTGGATCTCTGTGAGTTCAAGGCTAGCCTAGTCTACATATCAGGTTCTAGGCCAGATGGGGCTACAGGGAGACACTGTCTCAAAAAAAAGTTCATAAAAATTTTTAAATAGCATATCAGGCTGCAGAGGTGACTCAGCATTTAAGAGCACTGGTAGCTCTTGCATAGGACCCAGGTTCGATTCCCACCACCCACATGGTGGCTAACAACCATCCTTAACCCTAGTTCCAGGGAATCTGATACCATCTTCTGATGGTGCACCTATCTACATCCAGTCAAAACACTCATACACAGAAAATAAAAATAAGTAGTTAAATGTTAAAAAAAGAGAAATTTTAAGGGCTGGACAGCTGGCTCAGAGGTTAAGAACACTGTTCTTACAGAAGACCCGAGTTCAAATCCCAGCACCCACATGGCAGCAACTGTCCGTAACTCCAGTTCCAGGGGATTCAACAGTCTCTTCTGTCCTTTGCAGGCATTGTATGACACTGATGTACTTTCCTACATGCAGGCAATACACACAAACACATAAAATAAATAAATAAATAAAATTTTAAAATAAAAAAACATATAAAGAAAAGGATTTTGTTGTTGTTTGAGACAGGGTCTCCCTGTAGCACCAGCTGGCCTAGAACTTGCTGTGTAGACCAGGCTGGACTTGAACTCACAGAGACCCTGCCTCTGGCATGCAGGGATTAAAGCTATGCACTACCACACCTGGTCAAGAAAAGAATTTTTTTCTTTTCTGTCTTTTTGAGACAGGGTCTCCCTATAGCCCCAGCTGGTCACTATGTAGACCAGGCTGACTTCAAACTCACAGAGATCCACCTGCCTCTGCCTCCCTTGCTGGGATTAAAGGCATGCGCCACCACACCCAGCTTAAGAAAATAATTTTTTTAAAACTACCTAGATCAGTAGGATCAGTGGGCTCGCAGGGACTTAATATATGATGTCTTAGTTTCTTTCCCTATTGCTGTGATAAAATATCCAGACAAAAACAGCTGAAGGGAGAAGGGGTTTCTTTGACTTACAAGCTCAGTGTGCATTCCATCACTGTGGGGCAGCTAAGATTCGAGGAACTTGAAGCAACTGGTGTCATCATGTCCACAGGGAAAGCACAAACAGTGAATTAATGTGCTCATGCCAGGGCTCAGCTTGTGTTCTACACAGAGCAGAATCCCCTGCCTGGGGAATGGTGCCACACACATAGGTGGGTTGTCTTACCTCGGTTAACATAATCAAGATACTCCCCCAGAGACAGTCCTAGAGGCCTGCCTCCCAGGTAATTCTAGATTGTGTCAAGCTAACAATTAAAACCATTGATTATTTTGGTAAAGAATTTGAGACAGCTCAGCAGCACTGTTGCCAAATCTCATGACCTGAGTTTGATCCCCAGGGTCATGGTAGAAGGAGAAAAACCAACTCCTGAAAGTTGTGCTGTGATGTCCATGAATATGCTCGTGTGCTTGCATGCACATAGGCCCCACCCCCACAAAAGTACATTTTGAAAAGTTAGCCAGGCGTGGTAGCACACATCTTTAATATCAGCACTCAGGAGGCAGAGGCTTGTGGACCTCTGTGAGATTGAGGCCTGGTCTACATGGGGAGTTCCAGGCCAGCTGGGGCTATGGGGAGACACTGTCTTAAAAAAAAAAAAAAAGTAGACTCAGGCTGGAGAGATGACTCAGTGGTTAGGAGCAATAGCTACTCTTTCAGAGGACCCAGGTTTGATTCCCAGCACCCACATGGCAGCTAACAACCGTCTGTGACTCCAGTTCCAGGGGAATTCAATACTCTCTTCTGACCTCCAGGCATTGCACAACACAGGTGCACTTACATACAGGCAGACAATACACTCATATACATAAAATAAAAATAATAAATAAAATATATTAAGAAAGTAGACTCGGTATGACTTGCTGATAAATTGGTTGTAGGACTGAGGAAGAGAAACAGCTTGAATGATTCCTAGATTTCCAACTTGTGCATCTGAGTTATACTCATTTGGCAGAGTTATGTTCTGAGATGGAAAAGAATGGAAGAAAATTATAGCTTCAGATAGTCAGAGATGTTTGTGAGATATGGGACTGGAGAAGTCCCATGGTCAGTCAGATGTGAGTTTGGTTCTCAGGAGATACTGGGGCTAGAGCTAGTGATGGACTTTACAGGTGGACTTCAAGCGTAGGAAGAATGAGTGTGTTTATTGGAAGCTGAGGATGGAAAGGAAGCAGGAGAGTGCAGATTAGAGTCTGCCCAGCTGAGCCTTGAGAGCACTTGCAGTTGGGTCTGAGAGGAAGGTAGAGACTTGGGATGAGAATCCAGTGGGTTTGGGGTGAGAAGCTAGACTGCCGAAATGAAGCAGAGATGCATTTAATATTTTATGTAATTTTAAAATTATTTTATGTGTATGAATGTATTGTCTGCATGCATGTAAGTGTACCCGAGTCGTGCAATACTCACGGAGGTCAGAAGAGGGAATCAGATCCCCTGGAACTAGAGTTCCAAATGATTATCAGCTGGATGCTGGGAACTGAACCCAAGTCCTCTACAAGAGCAGCCGGTGCTCTTAACCGCTCAGAAAGAAATACGGTTTTCTTACGTCTATTAGAAAACAGACCAATATCCAAAATTAATTTTTTTCACCAGTGTTATTCAGTCCTTGATAAGCAATACTGTCATAAAATGTCCTTGTTGGGAGAAGGAAGAGGAGGCACCAACTCCCGGAGGTTGGCAGAAGTGTGGCATGAAGGTGAAGGGATCCCCATGCAGCGGCTTCTGTTTCCTCAGGGAAGTGAGACAGCAGCAAAGGCCTGTGGGGGAAGTTCGCAGAATGTGGCAGAGATGCAAGGTAGCGCTGTGAGGAAGGGTGGAGAAGCAGGTTATACCAGTGGGCTTTATCCACTGCGTGTGTCAACTGAAACACATTTCTCCATGGTGGGCCTTCAGCACAGGCCTGTGTAGATGTGGCGTGGGGCAGGCAATATGGCTAAGTCATGGTTAGAACTTGGCCAGGCAGTGCCATGAAGGGCAAAGGAGTTGAGGATATTCAGAAGTGGGATCATGAAGTTGGCCCAGGTACTCCAGGTTGACCAGAGGAAAGTGCAGTCGGAAAGGGAAGATGGGTAAAAGAGGGAGAGGCGTGGATTGGAGACAAGACAGCCGAGAGCTAAAAGGACAGGTGAGCCATGGCTGGTGTGGTGGATTTGGAAACACCAGGAATCCCGCTAAGAAATGGAGAGAAGATGGAGACTCAAGGCCAGACGTCTTCAGAGAGAGGGGGAAGAGGGAGAGGGAGAAGGAGTGATAGTGGGTGACAGTAGAGAAAACAGGAGAAGGGTAGTGAGGCCAGGTGGCCTCCAGCGCAGTAGAAAGTAGTCTGAGGGCAGCAATGCAGCCCAGTACCCACCTTTTCTACCTCTGCCACCTAAGACTTAAGAAAGAGATGGCCTTTCATCTGAGGCCAACACTGACAGCCAGGATTGGGACAGGGTCAGGTGATGAGGGGATGGTTCTGAGAAGAGCAGATGGGGCACACAGGAAAGGTTACAGCCTGAGTGGCCCCAGTGCAGCAGGGATGAGAGCAGGGGTGGCTAGCACTGACATCTGGACACAGGGACACCAAGTAGGATCAGGTCATATGGATGGGGGATTGGCCTCATGGGCCATTCAGGAGGCAGTGATTCCTAGCCCAGGGGTGGAGCAGTGCTGTTGGGTCTTGCTATGGGCCTTCTTACTGCTCGGCCAGCAGAAGAACACTTATAAGGAAGTGAAAACCAGTCTGCTCTTGCCTGAACTGTTCTCCGAGCCATTCCATTCTTTGAACGAATCTAGTGTCAGGCCCTTGCCAGCTGTGGGAAGGAAGAGACATCAGATGCGGCCACCACCCACAGAGTGCTGGGTTTCTAAGGTGACCTCAGAGAGCTAGGTGCTGGCTATGCCCTCCCGCCCTCACTCTACTGTAGTGACAGCACTCACCTTTAGTAGACTTATCTAGATTGCAGAAAGAGGCCAGCCATTTAAAAAATAAAAGCTGGGCTGGAGAGATGGTTCAGTTAGTACCTTGCCTGCTACAAAGCAAGTATGTATGTGACACAGGTCTGTGACCCTAGGTCTATCTCCAGATGGGTGTTGGAGAGAGGGAGGGAATCTCTAGAACTTGCCAGCCAGTCAGTCTAGCGATTTGTTAGCCTCTGGGCACTAGAAAAACTTTGTCTAAAAAAAAAAAAATGGTGAAGACTGATAGAGAAATACCAGCTATTTACATCTGACCTCCACATGTACATGTGTACAGTGCACACCCACCTACACTCACACATGCACATACAAATATGAACTCACACACCACATACATATACACAAAAAGAAAAGCATGCTGTTCACACCTCAGCTGGTAGAGTGCTTGCCTAGCATACAAGAAACTCTGGGCTCTGTCCCTAGCACCACGTCAAACCAGGCGTGTGGTTCACATGTGTAATCCCAGCACTCACAAGGTAGAGGCAGGAGCATTAGGAGCTCAAGAGCATCCTCAGCTGAGTGAGTCTGAGGTCAGCATGGGCTACATGAGACACTGTCTCAGGAGGAAAAAAGAAAACCATTAGTCTACTAGAACCCGACAGAATCCTGAGGGGATGTTGTGCGCCACCTGATAAAACCCAGCTTTCTTTTATCAGAACCAAACTCATGTTGCCTCTTGCTTTGCTCATCTCTACCCATTTCTAGAGTTTGGCGTGTACTGTAGCCACTGTCGGAGCGAGGTCCGTGGCACACAGTGTGCCATCTGCAAAGGCTTCACATTCCAGTGTGCCATCTGCCATGTGGCTGTGCGGGGGTCATCCAACTTCTGTCTGACCTGTGGGCACGGTGGCCACACAAGCCACATGATGGAGTGGTTTCGAACTCAGGAGGTGTGTCCCACTGGGTGTGGCTGCCACTGCCTGCTTGAAAGCACCTTCTGAACTTAGAGATGGTGACATCGTCAGAAATCCCAGAGGACCTCATAGTGCTGGAGAAAGCCCTCTGCTGCTACTAGTGGAAAGTTCCAGAACCTAGGTTATCTCCAACAATTTAGTGCACTCCCCTTACAGACGTCACAGCATCTCTCCTTGTGACTCTCTGCCTTTCATCTCTGGCTATTAGAACATGGATGGTGCTAGAAGGCAGGGAGGTGCACAAAGCTGACTTTGCTGTGTTGTCGCTGAGTTACCACAGAGGATGTTTTCATGGGGAAGAGTACCTGTCTCCAGAGCCAGCATCAGCCTTCAAGGGATTAGCCTCGAACCATGAATGAGCTCTCCGGACACCAGTACAGACACCATGTGAACTGCAAAAAGCAGTCTCCTGAGCCAAAGAATGGTGGATGTTAGTTTCATCAACAAGTTGGCTTATGGTATCTGTGACTTTAGAAGTTGGTGTCTTTGATGAACTGATGGATAGTGGCCTTGTAAAATTTGATATTAAAAGTGTAAATATATGATGTACTTGAGGACTTTTTTTCACTGGGGCTGGGGCTTGAAGCCAAGGCTGTGAGCATGCTAGCAGACAGCTGTACCATTGAGTTACATCCCCAGCCCTTTAGGGATTTTTTTTTTTTGTATATGAGCATATTACCTGCATGTGTTTAAGTGTACCTGTGTCATGCATTGCCCACAGAAGTCAGAAGAGGGTGTCAGATCCCATGGAATTGGAGTTATGGATTGTTGTTAGCTGCCATGTGGATGCTAGGAACTAAACCCGGGTCCCCTGCAAGAGCAGCCAGTGCTCTTAACTACTGAGCCATCTCTCCAGCTCCAAGTCTCTCTTTTTGACTAATGGTCAGTAGGGATTGATTTAACGATTTACGTAGGGGTTGGTGAATTAATTTTTTGTTACCTGTGGAGCAAGATTTGACCTTTAATTGGCATACTTTTTGTTCTGTTTTGTTTCTCCATTGCTGTAACAAAATACTCTAACCGATACCAACTTGGGGAGGAAAGGATTTATTTGGCTTACCTCTCCCAGGGTCACAGTTCATCAGTGAGCCCAAGGTAGGAACTCAGGGCAGGAACCTGGAGGCAGGAGCTGAAGTGCGGGCCATGGAGGAACGTTGCTTACTGGCTTACTGCCCTGGCCCATGCTCAGCCTGCTTTCCTATACAATATAGGCCCATTTGCCCAGGGGTGGCACCACCACAGTGGGCTGGGCCCTCCCATATCACTTCATTACTCATCTCAAGAAAATACCCCGCAGACATGGCCACAGGCCAGTCCAATGGAGGAAATTCCCCAACTGAGGCTTCCTCTACCCAGGTGTGTAAAGTTGACACTAAAGCTATCCAGCACATTTTTCCCCTAACACATGGCAAGACCTCTGACCTCTCCCACCTCTAGCAGAGGCACCTTCATGAGTGCCTCTTGCTGGGCAAGTGAGCAGCTTATACTGCGAATTGCTGTTGTGATTTTTGTTCATCCTTTAACAATGTCAACTAAAGTGAGTAAAGTGAGAAACACTGATCTTCATAATAAGAGTACTGGTAGCTCAGAGTAGCGAAAGTGAAGCAGTCTATTTTATGATCTAAAGGGTAAAAGTGGCTGACATTCCAATTTGGCACAAAACAGTGGTTTTATATCCCTAGATGCATTTCTCTGATCCCTAAATGCCTCATTTGCTGAGTTCTTCAGGGAGGTACTTAATATTTAGTATTACCCATTCCCCAGACTGCTCATCTTGTTAGCTCAGGATGCAGAAATGTATATCCTGGGGCTTGAGATTCCCTCTTCTTCTATGTGGGTTCAGACATGGAGCAGACTGCCTATAACCTCTTAGCCCTAGGATGAACTGATAGCACCTAGACAAGCAGCTGCCAGCTGGGGAAGACAAGGGCGCAGTGCCTCATGCTTGTCTCATTCTCTGAAGAGCTCTAAACACATCTGAAAATGGACTATAATGACGCATTTCCTACAGTAGCCGATAGTGAGACTTCCTTGAATAAGGACGACGGTGGAAAGGAGGACAAAGAGTAAGAGGCTCAGTGGAGGATTGAGCAGGATTGGGTTTGCTGACACGAGAGGAAGGCTGACCACTGAATAACAAGAACATCTTTTTTCTCATTCCAGTTTAGTCCTTTGACTCCATTCCTGTATGGTGGCAGTAATTATTTTTGATTAACACTGTAATTAAACAGCAATAAAAACTTCCAAGAAGTAAGGTGATGTGTACCTATAATCTCAGCACTAGGGAAATGGAGAGAGGAGGATGGAGTGTCACAGGCCAGCTTGGGCTATAACAAGACCCTGTCTAAATATAACAAGACCCTGTCTAAATAACAAAACACAACCACAGGTCATCTCAGAAGACTGGTCATTTCCTCCAAACCAAACCTGGAAATTCTTAATTCTGCTACTAGGGAGAACACCATCAGTACTCAGAAAGGCCTGTGGATCAGCTCATATCACAAGCTAACCAAAAATCATATGACATGGGCCAGTGAGATGGCTCAGGGGGTTAAGGTGATTGCTGCCCAGCCTGATGACCAGCACTTCCAATTCAGAGAGAGACCTTGTCTCAAGAAAGTAAGGCATGAAACAACAGGAAGACACCTAACATCCTGCTGTGGCCCCCACATCACATGCACCTGTACAGTCACATGCCACACACACAAACCACAGACATGAAAACCCAGTGTTTCTTCTATCATAACTTTGACTCTTACAGCAACATAATCCACAAACAACCTCTTGTTCCCTGCCTTCATTTTGCTATGTTAAGGTAAGACCTAATGTAAAGGCGGGGCAGGGTGGGGGGCAGCAATAGCATAGAAATGACAGATTTTTTTTCTCTGATTTTTTTTTTCCCATCCTGGCTCTGACAAGAGGTGAGTATGACACTCTGGGGACAGCAATAGCATAGAAATGACAGATTTTTTTCTCTGATTTTTTTTTCCCATCCTGGCTCTGACAAGAGGTGAGTATGACACTCTGGGGACTTTGGGGACATTGTATGTTTTGCCAGTAGGAACTGACCCAACCTGCAAGAGGCCTGGATGCCTTTGAACTTGAACCAAGAGAAAAGCTGGTTTAAAGACCTGGAGCCAGGCTGGATGTTAACTTTCTTAATTTAGAGAGACTTGTTGCTGGATAGAGCCCAAGGGTGTCTTAAATGCATCCCATCTTTTCCTACCGGAGATTAGAAATGGACGAAAGAGTGAAAGGATCAGTATTGACATCCAGAGTAAGTAGATTCCTTTCTCATCAGGAAAATGTCCCAGCAGCTAATGTTCTTTTGACTTTTCTAAGGCATTGGCCAATTATTATCTTGAAGAAATCAACCTTTTAAAAACCCCTCCTGTGTGCATTTTCAGTACACTTGAGACAATGGTGTTTGTGTAGCACTCTATGGTGACATTTGTGTGGTGTCCTGGCTTTTCACATAAAAAAAAAAAAAAGCAGCTTGCTTTGGAGATAAGATCTGGCTTCAAACTTGTGGCAGACCTCCTCCATCAGCCCCCACCACTACCACCACACATGATAGGGTTACAGCATCAGCCACCAAATTGTCATGAAGGCTCAATAAAGCTGAAAATCCTGGAAACACGTGGCTCTAGCAGTCAGGGTAAAAGTTTCAGAGCCAGGACATTCATGTCTTTAAAACTGAACATTAACACTAGGTGGCAACAGAGCTCTTAGGAATTTGAACACTTCAATCAGAAATACGGATAATGGTAAAAATAAATGCAAAGTGGCCCTTTGCTTTCCTGGGCTGCACAGCCACTGGCTTCTTGGTGCCAGCATCTTTCCTGGGTGGGCCCTGGTGCCCACCGCACCTTGACTACCCAGCCTCATTCACCCTACTAGCTCCTCCATCCCATCTTTCCTCCTAGCCTGGGTACTGGCCCATTTCTTGTCTTGGCACCCCAGACTCCTGGACTGACCTCTTGGCCCAGAATCCCCACTGCTTCCTGATCCTTTGTATCCAGACCAACCCAGTTCCTCCCAGTAGTCCCCAGGAGCACTTGGGGCCTCTTCCCACCCCCACCTCCCTTTTCATCCCTGGGTGGCACAGCCACCAACTTCCTGGGACCAGCATCTTTCATGGGCCCTGGTCCCAGGCCAGCCCAGCCCCCAAATTCCTGAGGACAACATCTTTCCTGGAG